AGGATTGCCCACTCAGTGACTTGCTGTACATTGATTCTCACTCAGTCCTGGCCACTGCTGGGATGTATCCCAGGCTGAATTGTTTTGTTTCTTTGTGGCAGAACTCTTTGTTTCCTCATTCCCTTTTTGTAATTGGTCCGTTGGGATTGCTGGCTGCTGAGGAAAACTGCCCACTGCCACATCAAAACTTTAAACATTTTTAACTTTCTGAGGCCTTTTCAATGTGGGAATATGTTCACAGTTTTTTCCAGTGTCTTGCACAAGTGCATGAGATCACCTGTCTGCTATCAAGATTAGCATAGCCATATCCTCCTCTTGTCAGCGTCTTTCTCAGTTTCATCCTCCACTTTGTCATTCCTGAGCAAACTCTCCCACCCCTTTGCAATCTGTATTAGATAGCAAGAAGGAAAAAAACATCCAAAGCCCTTATGAATGTGGGAATGCATTCATATTTTTTACTAGGCTGCTTTATGTTCTATTGTGGTGATAACACACATCCACTCCTAAAGCTCCTTCTATCTTGCAGCCACCAGCTGCTTTCAGCTCCCTGGATGCCTGCTTGTGCTTGCTTCTTGCCTCCATTGGTTTCAATTGCTATCTAGCAAGTATACATATGGGTTACAGAGCAGTGAGTGAGACTGCTGAAAATGGGCAAATGCCATGACAGTGCAGTAAAACAGAGGGGGGAATTGTGAAAATATCCTAGCAGTGGACACTCACTTCTGCACACTGGTACTGGGCACTGAAAATAAAAATAGTAATAAAAATTGAATGCATTCAGGATGTTCTCCAGCATCCTTTCTTCAGGATTTCTATGAAAAAGGAGTTAAAAATCTATCCTAAGGTGGAGGGTGCTGAGACAGCTTGAGGGAGAATGGAAGGAATACTAGCAAGATCATGAGGCATGGTAAGGATTTTCATTGCTCTTGTAAATGAACTCTCTAGCTATTCCTGACAACTTACAATAAAATAGCCTTGCTAGGATCAAACATCAAAAAAAACACCAGCTCCTAAAAGAACAAGGCTGAGAACAAGCCATCCTAATCATAGAAGCATGAATAGTAGAGTTGGAAGGCGCATATAAAGCCATTGAGTCCAATCCCCTGCTCAGTACTCCAGGTTGGAGCAACCCTGACAGATGGCTGTCCAACTGCTTCTTGAATACCTCCAGTGCGAGAGAGCCCATGACCTCCCTAAGTAATTGGGTCCATTGCTGCACTGCTTGAAACAGAAGGGAAGTTTTTCCTGATGTCCAGCCAAAATCTGGCTTCCTGTAACTTGAGCCCATTATTTCATCTCCTGCACCCTGACATGACTGAGAAGAGATCCTAGTCCTCTTCTCTGTGGCAGCCTGTCATGTATTTGAAAAATGCTATCCTAACTCTACTCTTCTGCAGGCTAAACATCCCCAGTTCTTTCAGTCTCTTCATAAGGATTTTTTTACAGACCCCAGAGCAGTCTTGTCACTCTCCTTTGAATCCCCTCCAGCTTGTTTAAATTCATCTTGAATTGTATGTGATACTCAAGATGGTTCTTAAGTAGTGCCCAATAGAGGGCAGCCAATACCTCATGTGATTAGGAAGTAACCAAACCTACTACAAGCCGTAGTTTCTCAGTGTGGCTTGTTTGCAAAAAACTTGCTCTGAGTTTGAACGTTGCTTAAGCAACCCACCATAGCTTAGTGTGACATGCTAACCAGGTCACTCACACACTGTTCACCTATTATGCATGTACTACTGATATACACAGAGATCCAGCATAAGCATATTCCCCAGCCTCCTCCTTCAGCTCACAGTGTGGATTAGCCTAAGGGGAACACTTAGCAGGTAAAAGCTTTTATCTCTGATCAGCTACTGAGCAAAGATAAGAATTTTTTCCTGCTCAATGCTGTGAAAGGCAGCTGCTGATAGGTTTCAAAACAACAATAACAACACCACCACCACCACCACCAACAACACCCTTTCCCTGCCTGGGAAGAGATTGTGGCATCTGGAGAAGAAGCTATCAAGCCACATGAAGAATACCTACAGGTCAGAACAATTGCATGGGTCAAAGATTCCTCACTTTCCATGCTATATTATTTGCCTGAATGATCAAATCAGAGATTCTCAGGATTTATTGTAATGCTAACAGGTACAATTTTCTAACTCTATTATATAATAACTTATTTTTAGTATCTGTTAAATCCAGTTAATATTTTTTCTTTTATGAGACCATAAGATTTTTAAAATTGTATACTTTCTTGCATATTACCTCTTTCTGAAATAGCAGGACCTGACCATATGGCAGATGGCTTTTGAAACTTACAGACTGGTAGCCATGTTAGTCTGCTGTAGCAGAAACAGTAAATAGGCCTGTGACAGGTTAAAGGGTAAGAAATTCATTATGGCATGAGATTTCATCAGAAGCAAATTGTTGAGGGTGAGGTTGTAGGGAGAGATATCTGCTGTACAAAAACAAAAAGTCCAGGATCCCACTGGATATATACTAAATCCTTGAGTGCATCATTCTTTGGATCTTGTCTGGCAACACACTTTGTGATTAAATTATTTCTTTTTTTGGGTGCTTAACATGGGGTTATATATGGCTTAGCATGAATTACTTCTCTTTGTATAAGTTCGAGGACCTGATTTTATCTCCTAACAGCTTAAGCTCATGCTGAACTCTGCTTCTGAGGGTTGTGAGCCTTTCCTCAACAGATGGGATATGGCACAGAGGGCTGTGGTAGGTAGGCATGATGGATGAAAATCAGCTGCCCTGATTGGCATTACCTGAACACACTTACAGATATTCTGTGATTGGAAGACCTAATATGGTGCATATAGGTCTAACTGACAGTTGGGTGTGTGAGGACACTGGGGCTTGGCTTCACATTTTTGCTATGTTTTGCTGTAGATTTTTGCTACATTCAGTCTTAGGGGCCTTCTTCTGAGTGCCAACCTCATGCAAGGTTCAGAGGGTGGCAACAAGGAAGAGGGTATTCTCTGTGGTGGCCCCCCATCTAGGGAACAGCCTCCCTATCTGGTACCAAATGTGTCATTTCAGCACCAAGTTAAGATGGCTTTTTATGCTTAGGCCTTTAAAGACTTTGAAAGCCAGGGGCTTAAAGGGATTAGCCATCCCAGGTGTTTTAAATGGGTCATTGTTTGTTTTTAACTGTTTTAAACTAATATTTCTCAGATTTTTATTATTTTTATTGTATTATCTTGCTTTATGGATTTTTGTAAACTGCCCAGAGCGCTTTGGCAGTATAGAGATGAAATAATAATATAATTATATGATCAGACAAACTCGTGCATAGTGTTACTGTTAGATGTAACCAATATTATTTAGGTGCAGGGAAGAAGTATGGTGCCTATTTATGCATTAAAGAGGACCAACATCATCCAAAAAAGTCAAAAGGAGGCAAGATTTTGCATAGCATTTCCATATGTACATTTATCTGTTGAAATTAAAAATAACGATAAATATAAATACAGTACAATTCACCCTAATTACTGGGTGGCCCAGTGTGTTTGTTAGTCTACTGTCCTGGTGATACCTGTGGATGGGCAGCTTCAGGGCCCCTGGACTCCTCATCTTAATCGTTGACTTTAAACCACATTTGGACTGGATACTTCTTCAAATGTAAGATACCTTCAAACAGAGGATTGCCCTTTGCCAGATCTCCAAAATATAAGGTTATCTCCTGCAAGGTAGGACATCTGACTACCCAAAAAGAGGGAAATTTAGGCATACTTGATTTGAGCCCATTATCTATAACTTGAGAAGGTAAGTTTAAAAATAATAGTTATGACTGGCGACTTCTGGCAGTTGCAGTCTGTGAATAGCACAGCAGTGTGAATAGTACAGCAGTATTTTCAAAGAGCATTCTGCAAATTCTTTCTGGCATTAATGTAATCCTTCTGGTAATTCTTTTTGGAGCAGTATGTGAGCCATGTTTGGGAAACCTATTGTAGTGGCTAGACTTTAATATGACTAGGGGGTGTCTGAATCGTTGTTTATCTGTATGTAGATAGAAATACACTACTCTTGCACACTGAAGATTTAACTGATTTTTGTAGTTTAAATAATGCAATACTTATTTCTCTACATTTACTTTGAAAATATTTTTCTTCAAAGTTTTAGAGAGTTTCTGATGTGCCTGTGGAACATCAGTCAACATTGGGCACTAAGGCTTATTCACATGATTAAAAGCCAGTGTGATATAGTGTAGTGGTTTTCAATTTTTCCACAGCTGGAGACTGGTAAAAACAGGCAAGGCAACATGTGCTTAACTTATTTCAGAGTTTCAGACAGAATTTGATTTGATTTGCCACAGTGCAACTACTTGCCCATTAATTAAAAAAATACTATGGAAAATTGTCATCACAACAGAAAGAGAAAAAGCAAATGAAGAGTGAGGGGAAGCCTCCAAAGCATTCCCATAGAGAGAGGGGAAGTAAAAGGGGAGAGAGTTAGGCCTCACAAGCAGACTTTCCTGCCCTGCCCATCCAGAGAGGAAAATCTCTCTAGCATTTCCTTGCTGAAAAGAGGAGGCACTGTTGTGGGGTGGAGGCAAAGAGATTCACAATTTTTCTACTTTCATGGGGGTCCTGCACCCCTAACTCCTGCAGTTGTGAAGGGCCAACTGTATGTGATCTGACTTACATACAAATTTGACCTAAAAATGCATTTCCATTTTCTTAGGAACAGAACTTGTTCATTACAAAGGGACTGCCTATATATTATGCCATTATTTTATAGGTATACTTTTACCAATACTTTTACTGGTTTTATTGGTATACTTTTATTGGTTTTAATTAATTTGTTTGCTTTGGCTATTATTTAGAGCATAACTTACGATGAAATGAAAATAATTCTTTGGGATCTTGATTCCCAAGATTTGCCCAGTTCTAACACTACCTCAGTGGAGCTGGACATTTAAACAAAATGCACGTTTTTTAAAAATGTTTATATATTTCTTCAACAGATTTCTCTCTCATCCCTTTTTAAACTAGGTTAGAAAAAGAGAGCATTCAGCAGAGCTTTAGCAATGAGGCAAAGACCCGAGCCCTTCAGGCCCAGCAGAGAGAGCAGGAGCTGACACAGAAGATGCAGCAAATGGAGACCCAGCATGATAAAACTGGTAGGTGGTAGGGAAAGATTAGAGCCTGGGCACTCACTCACAAGCCCGGCCCATGCCTGACTGTGAAATGACATCAGGAACACCTGTAACCTTTGGCTGGCCGAAGGGAGCAGATGCTAACTACACCGGAGATTCCGAATTACATATTAGTTAGCGTTTAAAAGAGAAAATGGAAAGTATTGCCCACTGTCTGTTGATTTCAGAGTGCTGCTCTCACATCTGTTGCACCATCTGGATTATGAGTTTATTTACCTGTGTTCAAGAAACGTAAAGCTGAGAGGGACCACAACAAAGTAGAAAAACAAAGGACTTGTTTTTGGCTGGATTTTCAGGCACACATGTTATATAAAGAAAATAGCATCAGAAGCTCTGCAGGAAATGCTCTGAGCTTACAGTTAAAGTCTCCTGAATAGCATTGAACAGTTCCCACAGTACACACATTATAGCTACTCTAAAAGCTTAATGAGTTTGCTTCAGAATCCAAACTGGAGAAAAGCTTTAGCCATTAATCGGTACTTAATTCACTGTCGCAGCTGGATGTAATTCACTAGCTCCAAATTAATATGTTCCTTTATTTAATCTTTGCAGCCTCACACATTTTTAGAATTTGTCTATTCTGTCCTCCTCAAATATAGATAGATCTTTAATCTTTTGCAGCTATGAGAACGTGAAGTATGCAGTTTAAATTGATAAATATGGGACATTGGTAACAGCTGGCAGCCTGACTGGAACCTGATGTGTTTCAATATTTTGGCACAGCTGACCTGTAATTTTTTACCTTTATAGTGTGAAAGTAAAATTGATTTACAGAATTGTTGACAATCAAAATATTATGTGTGCTCCTTTAATATTGGGGATGGACCAATTGCTTTTTAGGTCCACATCAAAACTGTGCTGTGTGCTTTAGAACTGTAGCAAATTTGCATATTTAAGCTGTAAGTAATATTATTCACAGAAAATATGTATAAATTTCATATTTGCAGAACCTGAATTTTCAAATTAGAGTTGGTGGTTGTTGGCAATTCAGTGAATACCCAGTAATGCATTTAAATGGGTGTACAGATTACAAATGTTGCTAAGTAGTTTAGTAAGGCATGGAAACATGTGTCCCTACCCTCTCTATGCCTCTGTATGTGTTTAACCAAATATTCACTATTTCATTTTATTAAAAGTAAAAGGAATCGTAACAGACAAGTGGCTCAAGTATGTCTAGGTTAGGCACGTAGTGGGATGCAGGGCAAAGGCTTAATTTGCATGCCTGCCTTCACTAGGTATATAATACAAACTGCAGCATTCACATGCAAATACAAACATCTATAGGTTACATTGCACAAAAAGGAGTAGAGGGATCCTGTGATGATAAATTAACTGACACAGGCATTTAATTTTATTCCTTTACTGAAATACTTGTGTATCACCTTTTTAGCAACTACACATCACACCTATATGCAAAGACTACACTTTACATTATGTATAATTGGTGGGGTTGGCACATGAACATGAAGCTTAATTCTGTATCATTCATAAGGGATGGACGAACCATCAGTGTTGGTTTCCACTAGTTTCTCATTTTTTCAACTCAGATTTTGTTTTGTGCTATTTCTATTTATGTTTTTTTTTAAATTCCTATGACAGTTCATACAGTTTAATGTATAAATGGAGTTTTCCTTATACACACATTTTGTAGATTCTTTTCCCCTAGTATATGCATTTTAAGTCATTTCTCCTAATATAAAACAATTTAATTGCTAATTTCACTAATGCCTCTATTTCCATGTGCATGTTTTCCTAATACACATATTTGCTATGAAATTTTATTAGAAAACTGCCTCACAAAATAAAAAAGCACATAAATGAGCTATAACTTCAATTTGTGTATTAGTTCGGGAAATGCACATTAGATAAGTTTGCATTAAAATGTAAACTAAATAAATGTTCACCCATTCCTAATCCTGAATATAAGTTGATAGCCTTTACATTGTCCTTTCTTATACATCTGGAATACAAATAGGTCCCTTTGGACTAATAATGACCTGCAGAATTAAACTCATTTTATTAAGTCATTTAGGTACATAATGGAGGCTCCTATGCTCTTCTTATCTGTTTTCTTAACTCACTACTTTCTATTCCTGATAGAGGCTTGTAGACTTTCCTTACTACAGTACATGCAATCGTGAGCTCTTTCTCTTCCCCGAACCTTGCATTTTTGTTGCGGGGGGGGGGGGGGGGGGGGGGCTCTTTTTGTCTTCAAATGCTGGGTATGTTAGTGATTTGCCAGAGTTACTCCCCTGTGCCCTTTGCTATTGCCAGCATTACCCATTTTCTCTTTGGCTTTTGTGTACTAGAGTTCTGTAGTCATCTGAGCAGACCAAGCATGAGTGTGGAGTGAGTTCTGCTGGCATATTCATAATTCCAGCCTCTACCCTGCCTGACTATAAGGGTAATATTAGATGTTCCCTGGGCCTGTGCAGTGAATGCAATAGAGTGCATGTGTGCTTGTTTTTACTTAGGATGAGTAATATGGTGGTATGGTCTTGTTCCTGTTATGCTGGATAGGATGTTCAGTAACATCCTTATCCATATTCCTTATCTGAAAACTGTGTTCTATAACTGAGGCTTTGATCTAGACTCCCCAAGAAATGTGGTGGGCATTTATGAGAGCTGAGTCTTTCAACCTGGTGAATTGCCCTCTCTCAGATGCCATCGCTGGCACCAGGACTGGTTTTAGATACCAAGTTAATACCTGGCTTTTTATAGAAGACTTCGGTATGGACTTTTAGCTGCTTCTTTGTTCTTTTCCTTCTACTGCCTTGGATTGTATCTCCACTTTTTTGAATTATATGCTCGTGATTTATGATTTGTATCATGTTTGGTCATTGCATAGCTCACAGCCTGTGCTGCCTAACCAGTGAATCAGGAGCAGCAAAAGCCTAATTGTCTTTTAAAACAATGTGCATACCTAGCTGAAAAATGGACTTGAGTTCATTTAAGTCTCTGGGTGTACAATTTTGCTTCCTGCTAAGGCATACATTATGTGCACACAGTGTTTTAAAGGGAAACTGCCATTTTATTTTTTTTTACTGTAGCACCAAATTTTGGCAGCCGTTTCAGTGGTTGCTCCAGGGGCAGGAATTGGTTCCTGGTTCTGAGGACACTATCCACATCTGGTTTACATGGTTGTTGTTTATCTTATACTTTTATGCTGCTGTTTCTGTTTTGTAACATGGGCTTGTTATAGATGTGTTTTTATGTATGTCTCCTTGGTTTCTTTTCAAGAAGCTTACTACATTTTTAAAAAAATAAGAAATAATTAAATTTGTCTTTAAACTGGTTCTGACAAACATTATTTTGACTTAGTTATGTAAATGTCAGGCAGTATCTAGGGTACTGCATTGAATCACAGAGTATTCAGTGTATGATAAGCTTTACACTCTTAGATCCGGATTGTCTTGCTGGTCTCTCATGTGCTGCTAGCTCAACACTAAACTGACAGGCATCTCTATTTCAAACTGTGTCCTGTTTGAATTATGCAGCAGTAACACCAATCCTAGCAGGCCCATCTTTGCTAAAAATGAATGCAATTATTTGCTTTATGACTTCATTCTATGTAAGTGTATTAGGGGAAATGGGACTATTTGTGGCATCTCTCTGCATTCCCTACAACACTTCTGTGTATAAGCAGCTGTGACTTGGCAAGATGCACAGAACAAGTTGTCATTTATTTCTTCCTCACTTATCTGTAAGATCTCACTTAATTTTCTTGCACTGGGGAATGGTACTTTTTGTCCATTGATTTTTATAATATGAGTAACAAGAATGGGAAAACTAAGTCACATTGTACAAAAATATGTCATCTCAACTGCAATTATGATGATTTGGTTCCTGGATGAACAAAGCGGAATTCTATCTGCTACTCAATTGAATGGACTGTCTATGATATGTTCTAATAGGCATATGATCATAGTGTTTGCATCACTTCATACGTTCCCTTGGAATATAAGATAACAATTGCAGTCAGTTAAGCCTGAAAAAGATCTACATTTTAAATTTTTCATTTTAATTTTAAGAAGTTCTAGAATCTGATTTGTGTAAGTAGACCTCATATTGGTAATATAGTATATTCCAGCTTTTCCCCCTCATCCATATCCACATCCGTTTCCAAATGTTATATTGACTTAATTACTTGGCAGGCAAAGTATGATGTGTTTTGGTATCACTGGAATGATCTGGTAGTTTAAGCTGAATGGTATGCATAGTTTTATAAACATATGAATGTTTTTCTGCTGTAAAACTGCTGATCAGATATATGTGGCATGCTGTGTCAGTCTAATGTCTTTTAAAGGCATAACTTTTACAACTGCTTTACAAAAAGCCCTTAAGTGTACTGTTCTAAATGGCTCCTGTGCAGAAATATTTTCCACTTTTATCATGACTGGTAGTGCTACAGTAAAATCCAGACACTCCCCTCCCCCCGCATGTAAGCAATTTGCCATCCTGCTTACAGGTGGCAAATTGGTGGGCCTTTTTGTGATTTTGAGCCTGCAATTTTGGACCCTCTCAAATGGTTTTGGGGAACTGGCAATTACCATGGCAACAGCTTCCTTTGTATAATGTATCATTTCAAAAACAATATGGAAAGAAAGCATGGCTACTCCAGTGGACCTCCACAGCAGGTCTGCCACTTCCATGATTAGTGCCCTCCCACAAAACAATGCATTTCAGCCCTCAGTGTCCCAGGGAATGTTCTGGAAACAAGTCAGTGATTCTAGGGTGCTTTGCTGGAACCCAAGTTCAGCCAGCTTTCAGAATTACACAGACTTGGAGATGTAACACCTTTGAAGGGGTCTCTTTTTACTACAGGGAGAAATGTTTTCAAAGAAAAACTGTGTTTGATTTTTTTTTTTTTACTGCCTCTAAAATCTTGTGTATTTATAATGTCTAATTTTCTAGTCAATGAACTGGATTCATTGCTGAGATCCCAGAACACACTCCTGTCAAAATTAAAAGAAGAATGTTGCATGCTGGCAAAAAAACTTGAACATTTCACAGAAAAAAACAGGTATGTGATGTCTTTAAACTTCATTCATAAAGCTACTTACAAGCGTGCAATGGATATTAGTGGTTTCATAGGCCATAAGAACTCAGCTGAACTGAACTGCAGCTAGTATAAAATATGTCAGCCAGGCTGGTCTCTGAGACTTCATGGGGAGATGACATTCTGCCTATTTTAAATACTTTGCGCTGGTTGAAAATACATTCCCAGGTAAGGTTTGGGAATTACCTTTAAAACCCTTCATGGCTTGTATCTAAAATGCTTTCAGGAGCCCCTTTGCCCAGATACTTCGACTCACCAGCTAAGGTCCTCAGGGGATAATTCTCTGAAGTCTTCTTCTGTAAGATTAATTCAAGTACACACAGGACTTTTTCACTGGTTGCCCCTTAGCTGTGGAATAGTCTACTGGAAGAGATGTGTCTGATTTCCTAAATTCCCACCTTTAAGAGGGAATTGATAAGGACTGGTGTTCATGAGCATATCACACCAATCTTACACAGACTACACTGGCTGCCAGTCGCTGTCCAGGCCCAGTTCAAAGTGCTCACAATGACATACAAACCCCAAAAGGTTTGGGGCAAGGTTATCTGAGTAGGCATATTTGCCACATGTACAAGCCCATTCACTATGTTCTTCATCTGATGCCCTCCTCTGCATTCCTCCCCGTAATGAAGTGATTGCAAGAAGAGGGCTTTTTCAAGCATACCACACCAGTTCTGGAACTTGATTTCAGTGGCGGTCTGGTTGGTGCCTACTCTACTTGTTTTTAGATGCAAACTTAAAATGTTCTTGTTCCATTGTTATTTTAACAGGTGAATTGCTGATTTTTAATGTTTTTAAGATTTTATGTTTTATTTTTGAATCTCAGGATAATATTCATTTATCTGTTTTATTATTCTTACTACTTATTGATTTTATTGCTATTAGCCTGATTGTAACTGTGGAGTTTATTGTGTTGTATATTGTATTGTTTATTATGTTGTACATGGATTTTGTCATGATGTAAGCCACCCAGAGAGCCTGTGGCCAGTGGGATGGCATATACATTGACTAACTACATAAATAAATTTAAAATGTATATTTTCTGGCAGGCCTTCTGAGATTAGTTCCCATGTCAGTTTCATTTAAAATGTTGTCTTAGTCAATTTTAATCACTGTTGGTTATAATTTCTTGTAAACCACCCAAAGCCTATGGGGATGGGGTGATATATAAATATTAAAATAAATAAAGGTATTTAAAAAACCCTCAAGGATTACAATGTCCTCAGAAGGAAGCCTCCAATCTTGGCAGATTTTTCCAGTGGCCTGCTGAATTATTGCTAGTAAGCCATGGAATGATGAAATCGATTTTTGTCTCTCCTCCTTTTTTCTGCTTTTGCCTTTAGACAGGCCTCTGTGATTGTCTAGAGAATACATGCTGCCAGAGGCAAGGAATGGACTAGAGAAGCCATTGGATTTTTCATATCTTGTTCTCTTCCTTCCCCATAACTGGAACCCTTCTTTTTCTGAGCAGTTTGAGATCATCTGAGGCCACTTTAAGCAACCTCAGAAATTAGGCATTGCAGTTCTTTGCATGGTCTCTGTGAGGGGGCAGAAAGGGAGAGAGGGGTATAATCTTCTTTGAAAGTCTTTGTGAAGGGCAATCCAAGCAATGCTGTGGCCCTGGGACACCTATTAGGGACCATATGAGAACTCTCTTAAATTTTAATATTTTGTTTTTGATACCTCAATTTTCCAGCATACACTTTACTGTGATGCACATTTTATCTTACCCTTTTCCAGTGCTTTTTTTGGAAAAAAAAATGTGCCGGAACTCGCGTCCCCGCTGGCAGTAAGCACACCAATCCCAAGCTGAGCAGGGAGCAGCAGAGCAGCGTCGCAAGCAGCTGTCTCTCACTATCAGATAGCAGACACAATAGCAGCGTGCAGGCACTATGTTAATGATGTTTGCTGCTGATCTGCTATTCAGTTCAAAATCACTTCGTAAAATCCATTGAAAAAAGGTGCCGGAACACCGTTCCGGTGCATTCTATGACAAAAAAAGCCCTGCCCTTTTCTATTTAAGTTTGGTCAGGTAGGCATGGTTTGATATGTAATGTGGTCCAATGCAGAACCTTCACAATTTAAATATTGCATGGATGTATCTGTTATATTTTGATTATATATATATATATTTAGAACATTTACCAAATGTTCAATTTATACATAGTATGATTAACATACTTGTTTTACATCCACCTGGGTCACAAATCAGTGGTATAACAAAAGATAAATGGTCTGGTGCTTGTGGTAACATGATAGGGTCACATGGATTGCTTACAAAGTAAGTGCTTTTTCGATAATATCATAAGATAGAATACCTGTTTTCCACTTTGCTGTTTGTGTAATATATATGTCACCTTTAACAGAATTGGGTTCCTGATTAAGTACCAAGCAGTTAGTTGTATACTTAACTCTTATTGCTGTGGCTGTATAACTTTTTATCCTGAACAGATAATCAGGATTTACTATAAAATGTTGCAGTGTGGAATGCCATGTCCATTTCCAGGATACTCAGTTTCATTCCCCTCCCTCTCTCCCAGCAAGTCAACCTGCATTCTGTGGCCACTAAGCATGTTCAGTTCTTGCTGAAGTTTTTCCCTCACCTTATTTTGTTTCTAAAGGTTCCCCAACATGCTTACAAACCTTGGGATTTGTCTTTGGTACTTCCTATCTGGATGGATGGATGGTGTACTTTTAGCTTCATAAGAATAAGCACCCAGAAAATTCCAACTGCTTTTTAGTACATATGATTATAACTGCATTAAATTCTCATATGCTATCTCTGAATAATATTAATAAATTACCTAAGACAGAAGTGTGATAATATTCCAAGAATATTAACATACTTTATTTTCTATTGCCATAGCTCCAGTTGAGTTAGGCAGGATATATTAGTACGTTCCAAGGGAAATTTAAAATTAACATCAATAAATTGAAGTGGTATGAATAGATACAACTGGGTGTCAAGTTCAGTGAAAGTCAGGGACCATTTGTTACTCAGGGTGCTTTTGGTTCTTCATCTCTGCCTTGCAATCTAAGCTGCAGCAGTAGTGAAGAATACCATCCTTCCAATCAATCTCATGATTATTACCTAGTAACACTCACTGGTGCCTACATTGCCTTGAAACTAGACTATTGAAGAGCATTTGATAGGAAACTGTCTTTGAAAATTTGTTTGGAAGCTGCACTCATGGAAAATGCAGTGGAAATCAGAAAAATAGTCACTGGTGACGGGAGCAAACTGCTTTTCAAGACAGGAAACAGAAAGATACAATGTTGCCTTTATTTGATTCAAGTTCATGCAAACTGTGCCTAGTGTCCAGTGGCCCTGATGCATAGTCATTATTTCCCTGTTAAGAAACTATATTGAAAGTAGCCTCTTTATTAAAAGACTGTATCTGAATTGACTTCCCCAAGAAGTGAATAATAGTTGTGCATGAGATAAGGCTATACAGTCAGGAAACTGAGAGATGTGTGGCAAAATGGTACCCTGAATTTTAAGAAAACCATACAGTACAGAAAGTATACTGACCTTTTTAACCAATTGCTTATAATCTTCCCCAGACTCTATTGTTCAGAACTTTTAAGGAAGTCAGACATCATTATAGCTATGTGATAATGATCAGAGAATACAACGGGAGAATTTTATTCCATCCTCTTTAACACTGCAAGTTAAGTTGTAACTATCTGCACTAGCTTCTTCATCTTTAGAGCTTATTCTCTGGAACTGGCTGTGTTTTCACCTATATTGGCCCCACAGAAAAGCACCAACATTAACAAACTACTTACAATGAAGTAAACAGAGAACCAAGAGAAGTTGCAGAAATACTTACTGATTTCCAGTAACTGTATAGCACCTATCTAGAGGCTTAACAAAAGCAAGCTGTTTTCCAACTATTAGCATGGTGGACAAGGTAGATTTTAAAATTCTCTTCAGTGGTTTAGGATAGTATATTTTCACAGTTCCAAACAAATTTCTGTTTGAGCTTCACACATTAATTTGTATAAAAGTCTCAACTTCTTTGGTTAAGATTGTCTAGAAGTCTAAGATGTTGCTTAAATATGTAAACATAAAATATATTTGGGTCAGACTAACTTAGGATGCATAAAAGATGCCTTTCCAGTACTCAAGTGAGATGCAAGCTTGCTTTACTGTGTTTGGATGCTACTTTAAGTAATGTATTAATATAGCTAGGCTTCAGGCATAATTGGTGTGTGGAATCGATAATAATAAAAATGACCATGAGTGAAAATTTTCCTACATATATGGGCGGATCTTGGAATTGCTGAACTTACTCCCCTCAAGCTGCACAGCTGACACTGTGTACACATACAAATGTAAAAATATAGTCCTTCAGTGTTCTCTGTATAATTTTGTTTGCCCTTTTTTGGATTGTCTCAGAGTTTGAGGCTTGTGGATTGATGCTCGACACTGTCCATTGTGTATTTGTGATTTGCGTTTTGTAATTAAGGGCAACAATGGGAGTCCATTGGGTCTCGTTATATATAATGGTTGGTTTAATTTGTTTCACTTCTATCTTGTTAATTGTAAATTGATCATTAAGATTTGAATTCTAATCTGTCACTAGGGTTGAGTGAATTGAAGCTAGAGAAATGATCCTGTTTTTAATCACTGATGATGAGAAACAAATTTTATAATTTTGGTGCATATTGCAGTCCATATATTTTAACACTGTTTTTTATGATGTTATAAATATTGTTAAATGACTTTTAGTGTAGTTTTACTGTTTCACTATAATGGATAAATTATATTACCATTTTGGCAACAGTAGGCATCCAACTGTGTGAGTTTAATTGAAGTAAAGAACGCACACCCGGTTGAACTGTTTTTCTGCATGTTCGATTGATGCTGTATTGGATGAGTGCAGTCATTACACTCACAACACTGGGAGTAAAATATTTGCCCAAGCTAAGAGAATCAAAATGCAAATAGAACTTAGCTGAAAAATCAACTGATCTGTGATATTCAGACCCTTTACTGAATTGTCCAGATCTAAATTAAAATTAATAGAATAAACCTCACATTCATTTATAATATTCTAAAATGGCCATTTTTCTGAAAAGTGAAAAGCAGTTGTAATGAACAAAACAAATAGGTTAGAATTAGTATGGGATCTACAAAAGTTGGAGGAACAAAGCTGGCTATAAGCCACCTTTGTACATATCCTAAGTGCTGAATTGATTTTCAGCATCTTCCTCAGTATGGTCAGTTACAGATGCGTTAGGCTATAACTTCCATCATTCTTGTTCAACAAACTTGGAATGATGGAGGTTGTAATCCAACCTTTCTGAATGGCACCAGTTGAGGAAGGCTGAGTTACATAATAGTGCAGTTTTCTGGCTGGTACATTGTTACAGAGACTTGTGTTTTCCAACAGTAGTTGCAATACTACTTCCATTTCAATACTTCCATTGCTATGCCTATATTACAAACAAAATTGTTCCATGTTTTGTTAATAATAATATAAAATCTCTTTGTCGTATCTAGTCCACTCCTGTGCCTAATTAATAGCTGTAAGCCCGCAGAATTCAGTGGGACTTAGATCCCATTAACTATGCCTAAGATTGAAGCATTTTATATCAGCTTCTAGCAAAAGATATAAATAAAAAGTATAACTTTATATCAGGATGTTTCATGCAAAACTAAGATCTCTCTTTAAATTAACTTTTCTTTCCAAAAAATCATTCCAAAGACTTACATTCCTAGCTGCTGCAATAGAACTTACTTTCGCAGAAATCAGCCTTTTTATATTCTCTGTGTTAAAGAAAAATGTTTCTCATGCAGATGTGCACTGGAATTTTATTAAGGTGATGGTGCACCGCATGATAAAATCTGGCAACATCCATCATCAGTGTTCTTAATTCTCTAGGTCTGAAATTGGCCAGCTTAGTCAGGAAAATGATTATGTCTGTGACAGACTTGAGAAGATGCAAAAAAGAAATGATGAATTGGAGGAACAATGTATCCAACATGGAAGGATACATGAGAAAATGAAGCTAAGGTAGGAGGATCTGTTAATTTATTCCTATATGGTTTACTATAACAACCTGGTGGGTCTAGATAAGAGTCCATTGTTTAAATATATATTGTGTAGTTTGCTATAGATAAGGAAAAAGACTATATTAAACATTTGTAGTTATTAAAACTATTAAGCCCAATTAGTTTCATGAATGATTTTAGTCTGTTTCTGGTTTCTGCACTGTTACAGATGTCTTATCTGAATATATACTATTCACATAAATGTGTGTCCTTATTTAAACAACCATCTCATTTCTTTATCAGTCGGTACAATTTTCAGTACTTTTTATTTTAACATTAGTATCTATTGCTTTTTGAACATATTTGTATTTTATTAAATCATTAAAAAGGTAAAATGTTACCATTTAAAGCATTTAATAAAATATTTCAATATACTTTAAAAAATCTTCCCCACTAAGTTGAGGCCAGCATCAGCCATGCACTCGGGGCAAAGACAGAGCAAGCATCATGCTCTCTCTTCTTGGTCAGAACTATGCGAAAAGTAAATGTGAATGCTGGTGAGTCTGTTCTTTCCCCATGCTCCTCTGACTGAGGAGTAGATGGTGATAATAATGAATATGGTTACATCTAACTCTGCGTAATAACAAAGAGTAATAGTTGCTAAAAACTTGCACTGAAGAAATTATCATTATGAAGGCTATTCTCTCCCTTCTCATGCGATTCCTCTTTGTATTCAGGCACAAATGAAACCTTGCTTGTTGCCTCAGAGGCAGCTGACCTTTTCTAACATGCCATCTGCAATCACCCCTACATCTGCTTAAGAAATGCCACTTCTCTAGTTTTTTCCTCTCACTGAATTTCTAAATGTCTTGCTTGCTGTTTATGAATCTTGTCATTTATAATCCTTTGGCCCAATTTCCAGTCCCCTTGGTAATATTCATATCAGAATCTATTAAGTTGTGTTTTAGGAGTCAAATGCTTTATAAACAGCAACATGTTTTTATTTGCTAACTTGGTGATTTATTCTGAGGTATGGGCTCCTACTTTATAAATTGATTCTTAGCTAGCATTCTAGAAACTAGTCCTCATGATGATGTGGATCTTTGCTGCCATTTACTGTAGGTGGGGACTTGTTGATATCAGGTAGCCAAGTAACTTCCAAAGTAGCTTTAGTTATGTTTGCGTCTTTCTCAATGAGACAATGTGGGATCTTGGATGGGTTTCTGATCTAGTAACAGAAAGGCTAAATCTGACTTGTTTCAGCCCTCTTCAGGTTTGTGGAAAAGAAAGAATAGTTTATTCTTCCACTCAGAGTAAAGCAACTTGGAGGATAATTAAGTAATTCAGTTTTTGATCATGTATCTTTTAACCAGATACAATCTGTTCAGGAGATCAAGGTTCTAGTCCCAGCTCAGTCATGAAGACCACTGGGTGACCTTTGGACCAGTCACTGGTCAAATAGGTAAGCCTAACTTGCCGCTCAGAATTATTGCTGTAAGAATAAAATGGAGGAAACGAAGATTATTTAAGCCTCCTTGAGTCCCTTGAAGGGAAAGTGTGGAATATAAATAGTATTAATAAATATAATGAATAAAATAGAGTGTACAGTTCTTGCATAAAAGAGTCCTGTCATATACTATCTGGAGGAAGATTCACCTGATTAAGAAGAGGCAGGGGGAGGGCAGTGCTACAGGCCCCAGCAAGGAACTGGAAACTTTGGCTGACAGCCTTTTTCTGGAAGAGAAACTTTGCTCTTTCTGGACCATTCCTGGACTTCCCCAAGAGCAAAAATTGGAGCTGGAGACAATTCACAAGCAGTGGAAGTTCCCTGCCCTTAAAAGCAGCATGTTAACCTAATTAACCAGCAGTACTGATTTACAAGTAGCAATGCATTAGCCCATCTGGAGTCAGCTGGCTGCTGCAAACAACAGCATTTCAACTCTGGACTGAGCAGATTTATAGACTTTAGCTATCTACCTGTACCATTCTCTTGAACACCCCTGCCTTACCTGCAGTTTGGGTACATTGGAACCTGTGGATTGGCCTGTGTTTCTTGTTTTCTCATTCTTGACAGTTTCTCAGCCTTGACCAGGGAACTTGCTGGCCTAGGAGCAAGATAGCTCATACAGTCTCCTTCCAGAACAGATGAATCAAGTCAGTTTTAGCCCAGGTTAGCCCTGGTAAGGCAGAAAACATGGCAATCACTCCCTTCTCACAATGTATTAAACTCTAGTATAGCCAGTAATTCCCAAGTGTTTGTGTGCTAGTGACCACAAGTGGATGCCTGTGTTCAGACCTTACCACTTAACCTGACAGGATCAAGAAGAGGAGGGTAGGGCTGGGGAGGCTGGTATAGGGGCAGGTGACCCACATAGCCCTGTGCCTACTTGCATCTTAAAATATCTGCTATAGAAAGATTTCAAATTGGAGAGAATTTTTGTCTCAATAATTTTGTTACATCTGAAGAAGATCATAAAGACTTGCTAGGTACACATGGAGATAGGTAGTTTTTCAGGTACTCTAGTCAAAACCATGCAAAGCTTTAATGGTCTGAGTAACACCCAGACATATATTTGGGACCAGTTCATTTGGTGTAGTCCCTCTGTGATATACTCCAGTACCATCCACTACCAGTTAGCAATCTTTCAGTTGTATTCTGAGCTAACTGAAGTTTCCAGCCTTCAACTGTAATTTCACGTGAAATGCATTTCCATAGCCAAATTGGAGGTTCTGAGGGTCTAACTTTCAAAAGCCAGGCTGTTCCTATCCAGTCTAAGTTGCTCAAAGACATTCAGTCACATGGAGGTGGCCTGTGCCTTGACTGATAAAAACACACATGCAGGCTACATACCTAATCCTTTGGGGCAGTGCAGCCCACTCTAGAATAGGCTAAGCACCACTTACCTGAGTAAATGAGCCACCTTGTCAGGGTTAAGATTCACTTTCTTGAGTATACCCCAGGCGCTGAATTTGCACCCTATTGCTCCATCTGAATTTGATGCAAAGGACAAATAGCGTTGGCTGTCATCCACATATTGAGGACACATCACTCAGCAGTTTTATGTTAAGGTAAAATAGCATGGCTGATAGAATACTGATGGCAGTGCTCCTAGTTTAAACAGAGGAATACTATGACTAGGGGTTTCAAAAAGTGCTGAAGGACAAAAATACAGGTGGTTTGCCAGCTTTGGGCAGTTCTCTTGTCCACATCCTCCAGCCTTAATATCTGAAAGTCATCAACTATGACAGTGAATTGCTACCATTATTTCTTCAGTGCAATCACTGGAGTAAGCTTGATAAAGTAAAGTAAGCTTGATAAGAACATAAAAAGAGCTAGGCTTGACCAGACCAGAAGCACATCTAGTCCAGAGTTCTATGCATGCAGTGGTTTAGCAACTACCTAAGTACAATTCCACTCATGTTCTCCCGCAACCAGAATGCATAGGCATACTGCCTCATGACTAGTATCTATTCATAACCTATCTACCATGTCCGGCCGTGGATAATGAGCTCTCATTTATGTTTGGTCAGACTCATCATGAGTTCTACCCTAAAAGAAGGAGGAAGGTCTTAAGCATTTTAATTTATTGCTTAGAAATTTTAAAATATGCAGGGATGCTGGACCATACCCAGTACTGGTGGGGCCTGAACACACCTATGCACATACACTTGTGACACACACACACAAAGATGCAGCAGTAACTTTAACCTTGATTCCATTCCAATGTCCTGCAGCAAGTTTGTTGTGGTTATAGAAGTTGCTTCAGGGTCACTCGGGAAGAAGGACTAAAGCTTTGCCTACCAGTGACTCTGACTGATAGTGCTGCTTCTTTGATGCCATTAATGGTGCAGAAACATGAATTTCTGCCACTTTGGGTCATTACCAGGTGATGGAGGCTAAACCCTCTTCTTCTTTTCAGAAATGCAGTTTGGGGGTGAAAATCTGTCAGATTTTCTCACCTGGTCTCCAGCTTGCTTTCTCTTTGTGCTTATCCCAACTCATGCCAAGCATTCATGTGAGTGTCCAGCAGAAAACGAGTCCATTACGTAGGTATAACTAGTGAGGCCAGCTTGTGCACAACTCACCTGCTGCCCGAACACCCACTATGCAAGTGGAGTTTGGCTTCCATGCATGTGACTTGAAGGCTTTGTGTACTTTGTACAAGAATTATTCAGCACAATGAAGGGGCTCAATAGCATTCCTGTTTGTGGAGTGGTCTTGACTTGGCTCACTTCCTAGATTAGGGCCGAGTGTGGGAAAGATAATCTAATGAGTTCAAGAGAGCTGGATTCTGGCTGGATTGGTGCATCCCTAATTAGAGCTTCTCCTGCTAGCAACCCAGAGTTCATCAGTGCTTTCTTACCACTTTTACTTTCATGGAAGTGCATTGGTTTATGTTTCTGAGTAGCAGCAGGCAACTCCTAGCAACTTGAGGGGCATTGCTGCCTTTGATAAGTGCCCTTGTACTAATTCCTCAAGTGGTTGTTGCCTTTCAATGGAGATTGTGTATCTCACTGATGTATCTCTGACATCTAGCATTCTCGGTTTAACTGAGAAATCTATTTGACGGAGGGAAAAAAAGAAATATATTAAGAATTCCATTGCAACTAAATCAATGTCTGTTTGTATCTACTATTTTCATTGATTGATTGATTTACACAATGATTTGTGAGTTGCCTTTCAACCCAGAAAAAGTCCACAAGGGTACATACAATTTAAAAATTAATAATAGTATAATAAATTAAAAACATGAGGAAATACTTATTTAGAAGTATTGGCACGAGGCAACCTCTCTGTGGAGCACATTCCATAAGCAGGGCACCATTGCAGAAAAGGCCCTTGTCCAGGTAGCCACCCTCCTAATCTCTTTCAAGGAGGGCTTCCAAAGAAGGATCTCTGACCCAGATCTTAAGGGGCAGGCAGGGACATAGGGAAGGAGGCGCTCCTTTGGATATCCAGTCTAACCTCCCTAGGAAGAGAGTTCTACAGAATGGATACTTCCAAAAATAGTGGAGGAACCT